CCTCAACAGTGATCATGACTCCAAATTTCATGATTCTAGCTCTATTGGTTCTCCTAAAATATAAATTGTACCAAATTTAGTACCGTTTAGTACACATAAGTATTTTTTCTTAAACTGAATCCTGGTCCAAACCTACATCCCTATAGTGATGGTTGGGATGGATTTCGTGCAAATCGGAAGATATATAGGGACTTGGGTGAACCATTAATATTAAATCGGACGAAAATATATATGAGCGCTATATCTAAATCTGAACCGATTTTTACGAAAATTAACACACAAGATTCTAGACCTTATTCAATACGCTGTACCATATTTCGTGCAAATCGAAAGATATATAGGGACGTTGGCACACCATTTACATAAAATCGGACGAAAATATATATGAGAGCTATATCTAAATCTGAACCGATTTTCAGAAAACTTAACACGCATCATTCTAGACCTAAATCATTAGACTGTGCCAAATTTCGTGCAAATCGAAAAATATATAGGGACCGTTTACACCAAATCGGACGAAAATATATATGGGAGCTTTATCTAAATCTGAACCGATTTTGTCAATTTCAATAGGGTTCGTCCTTGGGCCAAATAAGTGATCTGTGCCAATTTTCATCCAATTGGGATCATAATTGCGACCTGTACTTTGTTTACTTAGTAAATCGACTCAGAAAGTGATTCTATGCATATTCTCAAAAGGAACCATGTGTCTATCTCGTTTCCTTTTGACTGTTACAAACATATGCACAAAGACATAATACCCTGTATCTAGGGAGGATTGTGAAAACCTAATATATTCATCATCTGAATATAATTCTATGTCTGCTGCAATCACGATAGAGATCGCAATATTTAAGATAAGGCTCTGAAATGTTGCCCAGACATACTGAAATTTGGGAGGCATCGCTTTATATGAAGATTATTATAAAAAAGGGATTAATGTTGATGATTTTTTGTAAGATGATGTTTAACCCAATTAGAACACGAAGTACAAAATTAAAGGCAATTCGATTGAAAAACGTTCGTATTACTCTCAAAATACCGAAGATTTGGAGGTACAGTTATATGGGGGCTATACAAAACGTGGCCCGTAATTGCCATTTTCAATACCAAGCATCCTAGGAGTAATACAAATTAAAATATAGCTTTGAATGCTATCATATTTAATACTCTCCATTTCCTGAAGTGAAGGAAGTGAAAAGTGCTCCAGTCATACATAACAACGTTTTCATTTGTGTTTGGAGTAATTTTTTTCCTCGTGAATTTTCGAAGTTGCAAGCGTGGATTTTATTGAGGAATTTTAAGTTAATTTTTAAATTTTATTTTGCCTCCGAAAATCGTGTAAGTGACAGCGGAAGTTACCACATGTAAACAATAATGTGTAGTCAATAGGGAATTTGTCAGTTTTTCTTCAAATATTTTGATGCTTAAGTTAGCATGACAATTGACATGGGTCCAAAGTTCTGGCTGTGATGTCAGAAATATTAATAATAACATCTGTGGCGCCTTCATTAGCGAATTATTTGTTATTAACTCAGTTTATGATACTCTAACGAGATCCAATTAACTGCACCATGATAATTAGTAATAAGTGTTAACAGCGAACGATGCTTGTCAAACATAATTTATCACATCATGCTAACCAATAAAACCAACAACAACAACAACAATATAACAAACAATAAAATATAAATGTCGATAAATATGAAATATCGGTATGATAAAAAAAAAACAACTTGGGTATATTTTGAATCACTGACGCTGATCTTCGTTGGCGTCGACCCGTCAATCTGGTCTAACTATGAATGGGATTTTGATTAAATGCGGAATGGATGTCTCACGTCATGTTTGGAGTTCATTGTTTTTAGTTGAGATTCATTCATTTGTTTGTCGATTTGTCGGTCGGACTGTATGACTGTCTGTCTGTCTGCCAAACTCTTTGACTGCCCGTCTTTTATGTCATTTCTATTGATATGTTTTCTGTTTGTCTTTGATATCAATGTCAAGTGCGAGTTAAGATTATCGTTTGATTATTTTGTTTTATTTTATTGTTTATTTTGCTTAGCTTATAAATTTAATCGATTATTGTGTGTTAACACTTCGATTGAAACAAACAATAAAAAAAGTGAAGTTTGCATTCGAACTTTTTAGTTCCTTGTTAAGTGTTAAAAGAATTGATTTGCGTTCAAACAATTTAGAATGTCATAGAGCACGCTGTAGATCATTTCTAATGATTTAGGAGGATTGTTCGAAATGACCTTAGAATGCAAATAGAATTGGATCTTAATATTGCTAAAAAAATATAATTATTAAACATCTCTAATTATAATGCATCTCAATTAGCCAGTAAATATTTCTGTAGCAAGAGATCCGTTTTTGTTCGAACTCGTAAAATAGCTGCAGCAAAACAGTTTTATTGTTTTTTCACCGGATCTGTTCAGCTTAAAAATGATAAATTATAACCGACACAAAAATCAGTTCATCTGAAAATCCTGTTCAAAAATTTAGCTAGCTGGATCTATCCTACGGGAATTTCTATACTAATCTGTACTAATAACAGAGTAAAGTGATTGACTGGCTTACTAACTGACTAATTCACTGACATAACGATTCATCAACGCTCAGACGAAACGGCTGAAGCTAGAAATCTGGACTGAGGGTCACTCTTGGTCCAAAAGTGTCAGATAAGGCTGGATTTTTGGAAATTCGTACTATTTGTATTTGGCGAACCGGTAAAGCTCGAACTCTTAAATTTGAAATGAGGGTCACTGATGGAGTGTAGAATAGATGAAGCAAATGATTTTTGAACATTCGAATTATAAGTATCCGAAAATTACTATAAGTATCCGAAATATATATAGGGACTTTGGAGCACCAATTACATAAAATTGGACGAAAATATATATGGGAGCTACATCTAAATCTAAACCGATTTTCAAGAAACATAGCACAAGTCATTCTAGCCTTAATTCCAATGATTTTCAGAGACTTTGGTGCACCAATTACCTTAAATCGTATGAAAATATATATGGAAGCTATATCTAATTCAGTACGCTATGCCAAAATTCGTGCAAATGAAAAGACTTCCAGGGACTTTGGTGCACAATTTACCTTAAATCGGACGAAGATATATATGGGCGCTATATCTAAATCTGAACCGAATTTCGTGCAAATCGAGAGATATATAGGGACTTTTTTGCACCATTTACATTAAATCGGACGAAAATATATATGGGAGCCATCTCAAAATCTGAACCGATTTTTCCCAATTTCAATAGGGTTCGTCCTTGGGCCAAACAAATGAGCTGTGCTAAATTTCATCCAATTCGGATCATACATGCGACCTGTACTTTGTTTACAATTTAACATGGACAGACGAACATGCATAAATCGACTTAAAAAAGGATTCTATGCATATTCTCAAAGGGAACCATGGGCCTATCTCGATAATTTTTGCCTGTTACAAAGATATACACAAAGACATAATACCCTGTACCACAGTGTGGTGAAGGGTATAAAAACGGATGTAGCTGGAATCATGAAATTTTAAATTAAGATTACCGGCGGAGTGTAGGATAGCGATATATAGGTAGTTTCAGAAATTTGTACTTCTGAGTACAAAAAGTATTAAATGGTACTATATTTGGTACAATTTGGATTTGGGTGAATCGATAGAGCTGGAAAACTGATATTTGGAGTTAGGATCACTGTTGGGCTACGTAGGAAGTTATGGTACATTTTTCGATTAAGGTGAACCGGTAGAGCACTCAACATTGAAATTACGAATAAGATTACAACTGTATTGTAGAATTGAGGTGTATCGATAGTTTGGGAAATTCGTTCTTATATGTACTAAATTTGAAACAATTTGAATTTTGGGCGAACCAATAGCGATGGAACCTTGAAATTTGGAGTTAGGATGAAGGATTGGGGTATGTAGGAAGTTTTGGAAATTTCTACTAAATGGTACCAAATTTTGGTCCAATTTGGATTTGGGTGAACCGATAGAACTGAAACACTGATATTTGGAAATTAGATTATTGTTGGAGTGTAGAGAATCAGGGGTATGTATCTAGTTTTGGAAGTTTTAGAGTTTTTGTACAAAATTTGTTGCAATTTGAATTTTGTGAGAACCAATAGGGCTAGAATTCTGAAAATTGGAGTTAGGATTTCTGTTGCGGTGTATGATTGAGACATGTAGCTAGTTTTTATCAAAACATAAACCGATAATTATATTTGACAGGAAGATTAAATACCTTATAATAACCCAAAACCATTAATTAAAGCCAATTCGTTTGGAAAAAGTGCTCAAATTCTCCAAAATTCGGAAAATATGGGGTGCCTTATATAACGGCTGAACGAAAAAAAATTAACACTCACTGATAGTCTAAAATATAAAATTATAATCAATTTGGTAGTTTTGGCACGCAGTTTTCTAATCTATGATTAATATTCGATTTGTGCAGATTATCACGACCAGCAAAAACCTTTCCTTTATATTTTATACCCTCCACCATAGTATGGAGGTTATATTAATTTTGTCCTTCCGTTTGTATCTCATTGAAATATTCATTTTCGACCCTATATATTCCTGATCAGGGTAAAATTCTAAGACGATCCAGCCATGTCCGTCCGTCTGTTGTAATCACGCTTTCTTCTGAAGGAATTGAGATAGGGTGCAGAAATTTTGCATAGGGTTGTCTTTTGTCACCAGGCAGGTCAAGTTCGAAGATGGGATATATCGGTCCACGTTTAAGCATAGCTCCCATATAAGGGTACCCCCAATTTTCGGTATTTTGGGGTTCTTGAGTGCGTTTTTCAACCGAATTCACCGAAATTTGCTTCATTGGGTTCTTATTGGGTTCTAAATGTCTACACAAAAAAATTATAAATATAGGTCCACTTTTTCGGGTAGCCCCAATATAATGGTACGTCCTAATTTTCAGTATTTTGGGGGTGTTTGATCGTATTTTTCCACCAAATTGTCTATGTGAACATACATCCATTTTTGGTTCCTTTTGAGAATATGCATAGAATCACTTTCTGAGTCGATTTATGCATGTCCGTCCGTCCGTCTTTCCGTCTGTAGATGTTAAATTGTAAACAAAGTACAGGTCGCATTTACGATCCGATTTGGATGAAATTTGGCACAGCTCATTTGTTGGGCCCAAGGACGAACCCTATTGAAATTGGGAAAAATCGGTTCAGATTTAGATATAGCTCCCATATATACTATCGTCCAATTTACGGTAAATGGGGCACCAAAGTCCCTCTATGTCTTTCGATTTGCATGAAATTTGGCATAGAGTACTGAATTAGGTGCAGAATGATGTGTGCCCAGTTTCAAGAAAATCGGTTCAGATTTAGATATAGCTCCCATATATAGTTTCGTCCGATTTAAGGTAAATGATGCACTAAAGTCCCTATATATCATTCGATTTGCACGAAATTTGGCATAGAGTACTGAATTAGGTCCAGAATGATGTGTGCCAAGTTTCGAGATAATTGGTTCAGATTTAGATATAGCTTCCATATATAGTTTCGTCCGATTCTATCTAAATGGAGCACCAAAGTTGAATTAAGTCTAGAATGATGTGTGCTAAGTTTGAAAATATCGGTTCTGGTTTCGATATAGCTCCTATATATATATATATATTCGTTCGATTTTACATAAATGGTGCACCAACCTTCTAATGTTTGTCCGATTAACACGATTTTTTGCACAACGTATCAAGGTGAGACGTGAATACGTTACTGTGTTTTGTTGAAATTGTTGTAGATGCTGTCATAGCTTCCATATGTATTTCGAATGGATGTCTGAATAAAATAGCGAATAGCGTCTATTAATTTTGCTATAAGTCGTTTTTCATAAATTTGTCTGATGGTACGAAGTCGACTTTAAATCTGCCCGAATGAAATTAAATTTGTCATAGTTTGCAGAAAGACTTGCGTATGTTCCTTGGAGGGGATACATTTGTACAATATACCCAAAGTGGTGAAGGGTATCATATAGTCGGCCCAGTCCGACTTTACTGCTTTCCTTACTGGTTTACATTAAAATAATTATCTGATTTTTCCGTTCTAACACTCTCTCACTTCACTTGCGAAGGATATCGAGATAAAAAAAAAACTAGAACGTACGGTTGGGGAGGAACCAAAAGGCATGGACCGATATTCCTCAAATCCGGACTTGAACTGCGTTTGGAAGAAATAATAAGATGGGATGAAATCAAATTTGAAACGGATTTGGTCCAAAGAAACATGGGGTCTAGAACCAATATTTCGGTGAGCCACATTTTCAACGTGTGAAAGTGTATACATACTGATTAGCCATAAGGCGGAGGGTATAATCTTCTTTTAAAAATTATTGTTTATTGTTTATATAATCGGTTTGTATAAATGTCGGTATATGTCCATTTTTTGATATGTTCCCTATATTTTCATTTCAAGTACCTGCCAGTATATCTATGGTGGAGGTGGTATTCAAAGTTCGGCCCAGCCGAACTTAACGTTTTTTCACTTGTTAATTGTACCGATTCGTTAGCCATATTTAATGGAAAATTACCAACATTTAAAATAGTTTGTCAAACATAAAGGAAATCACGATTTTTTCCTAAATATGTACCAACAATCATTTATCAAACAAAATAAATATTTGCAGTTTTTTATGGAAATTTCCACTTTTGAACAAAATTTTAATACTTCCTATATAGCCATAGGGCTATGCAAAAACAATTGAAACAATTTTGTTATTTAAAGAAAAAAAATCAATAACATCTTCAACATCTGTTAAGTACATACCGAAATATATTTAGAAAATAAAAAAAATGTTGTTAAACCTGTAGGCGTAACCATTTCTAGCATTATCTCTTAGATTAAGAACAAAAATAAAATTCTAAAAATAGATTACAAAATATGAATTGTTGAAATATATATATTTGTAACGGTATAATCCAGTATAAACCAGAACACTTCGAACGATCAACTTTGCAATTGTTATACATCATTAAAAACTAAAAATACAACTACAGCATGTAATTTCATTTCTTTAAATATCCCCCCATCAAATTGGAAAAAAAAACAAAATATCTTCAGGCATTTTTGGTGATGTTCCAACTCTCATGTAGATTATCCACAAATAAAAGATAAACCACTTTAAAAAATAATAGATTTGTTTCTATATGTTCTATATTGTTCCAGTTTCAGTATTTTTTTTTAACTTCTGGCAAAGATTTATGAGAAAAAGTCAGTTAAATTAGCAAAGCTCAATTAATCTTTTGATGGAGCGCGCATAAACATAAACGCGATTATAAAACACGTTTTCCTTTGCTGTTATTATGGCCAACGCTACAGGGGAAGAAGCGAACACATAACGTTTATATCAATAGAGCGGCGAAAAAAAAGAAACACGAGTAGTAAAAGAGAAAATACAAAGAAAAAGAAGCCACATTCACGCGATTTTTAAAATCCCATTTTGAACAAGAAATTTTATGGCTAAAATCAGAATATGATTTGCATCTATTGAATAAAACGTAATCTAATAAAAGGTTCGCAGAGACAATGTGTCGCTTGTTTGAATTTCAGGATTATGCAAAAAACAGAACACCCATAGATCTATGACAATGAATCCAAAAGAAAAAAACATATATAAATAAAATAGCACGATATTAAACTGTACCTGTTTTATAAGCTAATATAAAAAAGTTTAAAATCAAATATAAATTAAAAATCGAACTAATTTGAATATTAAAGCTATAATTAAGCAATTAACTATTGTTACTCTCTTTCACTGTCACATACGCTATATTTTATCGTGACAAATTATACTGTGGAACTAGTTAGGAAAGATACTTCATGAATTATGTGCATGATTGAAATAAGTTATTGAAGAAAGTCCTAGACCGTTTTAAGTAATGGCAACATTTACCAATTGATGTGTATTGAAAATTCATTTTAAATTGCCTGCTTGTGAGTTACTCATACCCAGAGACCATTAAATATCGTTTTGTTCCACAAAAGGAAATAGGCCATTCATTTAGTTCCTTTCAGTTCAATCGTTCATTGATACACGTCAGTTCATTCATTAAATTTTGATTTTTGAGCACGCATGCAGCACTTTCGTATGTCAAAAACGTTAAAAACATCCGACAATCCATCTATCGCCTGGGCTGGGATTTGAACCCTGGTTCCCATGGCATCTCTCAATTAAATTCCTAAGGATGTACAACATGCCTTTGCATACCATAAATTATTTTTTTTTTCTGTTGACGTTCAATTTTAATAACACTCTTAAAAGAGAGAAAGAGAGAGAGGGAGAGATTTATGTGAACTAATGGAACTAAGAGCTGGTAGAATTAATGGACCGTAAGGGTCTAGATGAACGACTGAAGCAAAAGGCGGACACAAATTAACGACTGTAGAAGAAGGAATATGATGAACTAATTATACCCTTCACCACAGTGTGGTACAGGGTATTATGTCTTTGTGCATATGTTTGTAACATGCAAAAATAATCGAGATAGACCCATGGTTCCTTTTGAAAATATGCATAGAATCACTTTCTGAATCGATTTATGCATGTCCGTCCGTCCGTCTGTCCATGTATTTTTGTTAACAAAGTACAGGTCGCATTTATGATCCGATTTGGATGAAATTTGGCACAGGTCACTTAATTGGCCCAAGAACGAACCCTATTGAAATTGGAAAAAATCGGTCCACGTTAAGCCATAGCTCCCATATAAGGGTACCCCCCAAATTTCGGTATTTTGAGGTTATTTTGCGCGTTTTTTAACTTAATTTGATGAAATTTGGTACTTTGAGTTCTTATTGGGTAGCAAATCTTCCCACAAAAAATTATAAATATATATAATAAAATTATAAATATATTTTCAACCAAACAAACCTCCATCCCAAAAATATTCGCCCCTTTTAGGGGTAGTCCAAATGTAACCCCCTTTTTATACACTTCACCTCACTATGGTGCAGGGTATTGTGTCTTTGTGCATATGTTTGTAGCAGGGAAAAAATCGAAATAGACCCATGGTTCCTTTTGAGACTATGCATAGAATCACTTTCTGAGTCGATTTATGAATGTCCGTCCGTCTGTCCGTCCATGTATTTTTTAACAAAGTACAGGTCCCATTTATGATCCGATTTGGATGAATTTTGGCAAATTGGAAAAAATCGGTTCAGATTTAGATATAACACCTACATATATTTTCGCCCGATTTTCACTTATTGATGTACCAAACTCCCAATAGTGATCCGATTGAGACAAAATTTTGCACAGAGTATTGAATTAGGTCTAGATGTTTATATGCCAAGATTTGTTGAAATCGGTTCAGATTTATATATAGCTCCGATTTTTAGTTTCGTCCGATTTAATGTAAATAGTGCACCAAACTCCCAATAGTGGTCCGACTAATGCAAAATTTTGCACAGAGTACTGAATTAGGTCCCGACTGATGTATGTGAAATTTTGTTGGAATCGGTTCAGATTTAGATATAGCTGCTATATATAGTGTCGTCCCATTTTATGTAAATGAAGCTCCATACTGCCAATATTTATTCGATTGAGACAAAATTTTGCACAGAGTACTGAATTAGGCCCCGACTGATGTATGCGAAATTTCTATATCTACAGGATATTGTAGATATGAACATGTCTTACATGTACCCATAGTGGTGAAGGGTATCATATAGTCGGCCCCGTCCGACTTTTGAACTTTCCTTACTGGTTTTATTAAACTATGAACTACAAGAACTAGGTGAGCCGGAGCAAAAATTAACGACTTGAGCAAATACAAGAAGATGAACGAAAGAGCAGCGTTTACTACATTTCTTTTGAAATAGATCGTCTAAGAACGACACAACTCAACTGGAACTTTTACATACCGGAACCAGAAACCAACATACCATTCCTTTGTGTGTCTGTTATGTCAAAAATAATATTAAACATTTTCTGAAAAGAAACCCCAGAAAATATCAGAAAACGGGATGTTTTTTTTTGGAAAAATTCCACTTTACAGCAACTCTGATGGAACAATGTGGTTAAAACATTCAAAATACCGAAACATGGAGCTATGTAGAGTTGGGTATTTTCGAAATGAACTAGTTCATTTGAACTATTCAGAAAAAGAAACGGTCGGAACTAGTTCTAGCTTTTTATACCCTACACAACTATGTTGTCAGGGTATTATAGCTTTGTGCAGCCCCAAGTGTTTGTAACGCCGCGAAATATTGATCCTAGACCCACCTTTAAGTATACCGATCGTCATATCTCGACTAGCTGAGTCGATAGAGACATGTGTGTCCGTCAGTTCGTCCATCTGTCCATTATCATTTGTAAACACGATATAGGCCACAGTTATGGACCAATCTTCACGAAATTGTGCATGTATGATGGGTTGTGGCCAATGAAGACCCCTATTGTTTTTGGTGAAGATCGGTTAATATTTAGGGGATGAAATGGACCAAAAACTAAATTTTGTCTGATTTTCTGGTCGCTCTAGAGGCCGCAATTATGGTCCAAACATCGCGATTTTTTTACATGGAGAAGGAGATCGGGACAAAGAATATGCATGCCTGATTTGATAAAGATCGGTCAATATTTAGCGGGTCAAAAGGACTCTGAATTTTTTTGTGAAAAATGGCAAAATTTGTATTCTACAGCGTATATATTTACCCCTGAAGGACATAGACCCGAGAAATTCTGTGGAAACATATACAAAATAAGGAGATATCGGAACATTCCTATTGATAAAAATAACGAAACAAATTCAAATCAATTGTAAGATACGTTCTGTTTTTTTATTAATTTTAGTCATTATCTATGTTATTATAAATCATAACAAACATTGTTATGAACAAATTGACTATCGATCACAATCTGTGCAGAGAAATTACATGGAATCACTCCTCATACATCGTCATTTAGAAACGATGACGACGGATAACACGACGACGTTGAGTTCTGTAGCGGTAACCATCAGCCTCAGAGTAGGAATGAGCTGGAGCGGAAGCTTCAACTTCATAGGATTCGTAAGCAGCGGGGGCTTCATAAGTGGCAACAGAGTTGGAAGCTAGAGGAGGCAAATATTCAGCGGAGACATCACGACGATGACGGCGGGCAGTCTTGAAGACACGACGACGTTGGGTCTTGTAACGATAACCATCAGCTTCGGAGAAAGAGTGAGCTGGAGCAGCAGCAGCTACATTATAAGATTCGTAGGAAGCAGCAGGAGTAGCAGCGGCTTCATAGGATTCATAAGCAGCTGGGGCAGCATAGGAGACAGCGGGAGCAGCAGCAGCTGGGGCAGCATATGAGACAGCTGGAGCAGAAGCTGCAGGTGGCAAGTATTCAGTGGAGACATCACGACGATGACGGCGGGCAGTCTTGAAGACACGACGACGTTGGGTCTTGTAACGATAACCATCAGCTTCGGAGAAAGAGTGAGCTGGAGCAGCAGCAGCTACATTGTAGGATTCATAAGAGGCAGCAGGAGTAGCAGCGGCTTCATAGGATTCATAAGCAGCTGGGGCAGCATAGGAGACAGCGGGAGCAGCAGCAGCTGGGGCAGCATATGAGACAGCTGGAGCAGAAGCTGCAGGTGGCAAGTATTCAGTGGAGACATCACGACGATGACGGCGGGCAGTCTTGAAGACACGACGACGCTGGGTCTTGTAACGATAGCCATCGGATTCAGAGAAGGAGTGAGCTGGGGCAGCAGCAGCTACATTGTAGGATTCATAAGAGGCAGCAGGAGTAGCAGCGGCTTCATAGGATTCATAAGCAGCTGGGGCAGCATAAGAGACAGCGGGAGCAGCAGCAGGGGCAGCATAAGAAACGGCTGGGGCAGAGGCAGCAGGAGGCAGGTATTCAGTGGAGACATCACGACGATGACGGCGGGCAGTCTTGAAGACACGACGACGTTGGGTCTTGTAACGGTAGCCATCGGCTTCTGAGAAGGAGTGAGCTGGAGCAGCAGCAGCTACATTATAAGATTCGTAGGAAGCAGCAGGAGTAGCAGCAGCTTCGTATGATTCATAAGCAGCTGGGGCAGCATAGGAGACTGCGGGAGCAGCAGCTGGGGCAGCATAGGAAACGGCTGGGGCAGAAGCAGCAGGAGGCAAGTATTCAGTGGAGACATCACGACGATGACGGCGAGCAGTCTTGAAGACACGGCGACGTTGGGTCTTGTAACGGTAGCCATCAGCTTCGGAGAATGAGTGAGCTGGAGCAGCAGCTGCTACATTATAGGATTCATAAGAAGCAGCGGGGGTAGCTGCAGCTTCATAGGATTCGTATGCAGCAGGAGCGGAATAAGACACAGCTGGGGCAGAAGCAGCTCCAACATTGGGTGGCAAGTACTCATTGCTGAGTTGAGCAGCTGCAGCAGCCACCAAGGCGAAAACGATGAACAATTTCTGCAAATCACAAAAATAATTTAATTATCAATCCTCCCAAGGAATTTACTCTTGTGTACTGACCATTTCTGCGGTAGTCAACTCCTTTAGAATCCAACCGTTAATGATACTTAGCTAGGGACAAATGCAGCTTTTTATACTAAAAAATTAATATTTCCGATCGCTGGTATAGCAAGTTATTGCAGAATATATATTTGTTCTTTCAAAAAACATCTGGTTGCCTGTCGAGCAGACATTTCCGATTCAATTCTATTCTTCTTTTTTTTTTTGTTTGATTAGCTTGCCTGACCAGTGCCGCTTGCATTGGGAGTGTATGTTTGATTAGAAGTCGTCTGCTTGAATCAGAATCGGCCTTTCACTTAATCTGGTCACTCGCTGTGTGTGATTGCATTCATATAATGCGAATATAATATAATCGAATTCGATTCATCCGAGTGAGGAAACAATAAAACATTAATTGTTGTCATCCAATGGAGTTAACGATAATTCGAAGACAACCCTACTAGGTGCTGTTTCCATGTCGACGAGGCACGAGCTTGCCCAACAAGTTGACTTTCTTTGGTAGGTTGTTGTGTGGTCGAGTTTTTGGCAGTATCTGTGTTTCTTGGCTTTCTATTAACTTAATTCCAATTAGGCAAAGAAAATGATTAATGGATGACATTTAAAGATTCGTTAAGTCGTTTAAGGCAGACTTAGCGGCGCTTTCAAATTGGAGGTGATACAGTAGCTAGTGTTGGACTTCTGTTTAGGACAATATTTAAGTTCGAAATTATTTCTTAAAATAAACATTTGCTTATTATTTCTGAACAATTTAGACAATTTTTGTGAACTGTTAGGAAACTTTTCCTAATTGAAATAAAAATATTGTCTTCTAGAAAACTATGAAATATTAAAAATTAATGTATTATGTCTTAAGTGAAAATTAAAATCATGGCGGTTTTGAGATTCTAAAAGAGCCTAAAGGTGTTGGTAAATGTAAATGAAAAATATTTATAATTTTGTCATCAATTATGATTGAAAACACCTCAAAAATAATTCCTCAATATTTGATGCAAATGTCATCAATATTGAACATTTTACAGTATTTTTAATCAAAAAAGGTAGAAATGTACCCGGTTTTGGTCGTAGGTTTAAGATTGGTTCATCAAAATTGTTAAAACATTCATCTTGAGATGTAGCATTCACAGTACCTAAATTCGTTCTGGACCTATTTATGGAGGCTATGGCATAGTAATTTGCTACCAAGAGGTTATTTATCCCCTGAGAAAACGTAGTAACAAATTGAAGTCTTTGGTAGAAAAATTCGTCCAGAACCTTTAGCATACCAAAGCTCAGGACTATATCAGAACATACTGACAAGTTGCTGCAAATACGTTTTTGACCCATCAAAAATCCGTAGTGTTAAATTACAACCACATCCATTGTAGCTATAACTAGAGTTCTACAGTTCCCGAACGAACAGTCTCAAATGAACGATTAAGGAAAAATCAAATTCTTTTGAAACTTTTCTTTAAAAAATCGTCTTATCCTCGCCTTTTTTGTTTCATTAATTCTTCTGAAACTTTTCTTTAAAAATCTACGCCTTATAGGTTCATTAATTCTTCTGAAACCTTTCTTTAAAAATCTACGCCTTATAGGTTAATTAATTCTTCTGAAACTTTTCTTAAAAATCCACGCCTTATAGGTTTACAAATTTCTCTGAAATTTTTCATTAAAAATCTAAACTTTCTAGGTTTACAAGTTCTTCTGAAACTTCTCTTTAAAAATCCATACCTTGGAAGTTTGCAAATTCTTCTGGAACTTTGCTTTAAAAATCTTTAAGGGGACCTCCCCATTCTCGTGGTCAAAAATGTTTTTGATTTAATTCGAATCTACGCTAATTCAAGAATGTCCTTACAAAATTTCAGGTGAAAATCTCAAGAACTCTTGAAGATATAGCCGATTATTGTGTCAGCATCAAGAGACGGCTAAAGAGCTTCTCAAACTTTAAACGCGTTTTTCTCTTTTGCGAATGGCGGGCACGATAACTCCAAAACTAATAACCCAATTGTTACACGTTTATCTGTGAGTGTATAGCTATCGTATGAACTAGGATAAAGCCAATCGGTGAAGATCTTCCTTATTTTTTTAACTTGGTTTTTGGTCAAAAATCGGGGATTTTCCAAAAATATTTTTTCAAAGGTGCGCCATTTTGTTAATTTTAGAGCGAAGTCATCCTAGTTCGAGAGAGCCAGACATGTCCTATTTCTAACACCGTTGGAATTTTCCGATTTCGGGTGCGGGTTTCCCTTAAATATGCAGGTAACTTTAAACGGAAAAATCGGCAATGTTTCCCATTTCCATTTACAAAAAATTGTTTAATATTGAGCATAGTATTCCTAATAAAATCTTATTAGGAATCTTATAAGAGAACTTAATCATGTTTCTATTTGTATAATATTTGAAAGGATCCTTCTTAAGAACAAATGAAAAAATCATTACATTGGCAATATGGCAAGATTGTACTTCACAATTAAATTTCTCAGTGTGGCTCAGTATAATCAAATCGAATCTTAACAATTTTCCAAGGTTAAATCCTTAGGGCAAATAATAACAAAAGGGAGATTTCTTTCCAGCTTCTCGCCATTTGTGTATTACAAAAAATATATAAAGATATTTCAAAATCATATAAAACAACCACATATACATTATTTTTCACATAGTACTTTATTTCCCTTGTAAATACAAACATTTTGAATTCCAATTCATATCGAATTTTAGCTACTTAGTATCTAAATTCGAAATAATTAGGCTATTACAACAGTTTAGAAACGATGGCGACGGGCAGTTCTGAAGACACGACGACGTTGGGTCTTGTAACGATAACCATCAGCTTCGGAGAAGGAGTGAGCTGGAGCAGAAGCCGATACATCATATGACTCGTATGAGGCAGCTGGGGCAGCATATGAAACAGCAGGGGCGGAGGCAGCAGGTGGCAAGTATTCAGTGGAAACAGCTGATGCTGCTGGGGGCAAATATTCGGTGGAAACATCACGACGATGACGACGAGCAGTTCTGAAGACACGACGGCGCTGAGTCTTGTAACGATAACCATCAGCTTCGGAGAAAGAGTGAGCTGCAGGAGCAGCTGCTACTTCATACGATTCATAGGAGGCAGCTGGTGCGGTTTCATAAGATTCGTAGGATGCAACTGGAGCAGAGGCAGCAGGAGGCAAGTATTCTGTGGATACATCACGACGATGGCGACGAGCAGTTCTGAAGACACGGCGACGTTGGGTCTTGTAACGGTAACCATCAGCTTCGGAGAACGAGTGAGCTGGAGCTGAGGCAGATACATCGTAGGATTCGTAGGAAGCAGCTGGAGCAGCATATGAAACAGCAGGAGCCGAGGCAGCAGGTGGCAAGTATTCAGTGGAGACAGCCGAGGCAGCAGGAGGCAAATATTCAGTGGAAACATCACGACGATGGCGGCGAGCAGTTCTGAAGACACGGCGACGTTGGGTCTTGTAACGGTAACCATCAGCTTCAGAGTAGGAGTGGGCTGGAGCTGAGGCAGATACATCGTAGGATTCGTAGGAAGCAGCTGGGGCAGCATATGAAACAGCAGGGGCCGAGGCAGCAGGTGGCAAGTACTCAGTGGAGACAGCCGAGGCTGCTGGAGGCAAATATTCGGTCGAGACATCACGACGATGGCGACGAGCAGTTCCGAAGACACGGCGACGTTGGGTCTTGTAACGATAACCATCAGCCTCAGAGAAGCTATGAGCAGGAGCAGATGCCCCTACATCATATGATTCATATGAAGCAGCTGGGGCAGCATATGAAACTGCAGGGGCCGAAGCAGCGGGAGGCAAATATTCGGTGGAGACGGCTGAGGCTGCTGGAGGCAAATATTCGGTCGAGACATCACGACGATGGCGGCGAGCAGTTCTGAAGACACGGCGACGTTGGGTCTTGTAACGATAACCATCCGCCTCAGAGAAGCTATGAGCGGGGGCCGAAGCTCCCACATCATAACTTTCAGCTGCGTAAGATGCTTCAGGAGCCGAAGCGGAAGTTACAGTGTAGCTGGCACCACCCAAATCGAAATGTGGTGGCAAGTATTCGTTACTGACTTGTTGGGCGGCAACAGCGGCCACAAAGGCAAATAAAATTATGAATTTCTGTAATTAAATTGAAAAGAAACTCTCCCATTAGACGTGGTTCTTACATTGTGGCCAGCTATATATTTGTAACCCTAATACCAACCATTTTGAATGATGGTTATCTCCTATTGCTTGCAGTATCCAGAAGATAATGATGTCTTCCTCATGCCGAATTCATCTTTATATACAAAAATTATTTTAACTCTTAAAATAAAATGTATTGTTGTCAACGCTTGTCATACATCAGCGGATCCAAACAAATACAACTGCAGTGTAACAATACTCCCTCCACCCCTTTTTTGCCCCACACAAAAATTGCAAGACCATTCGTGCAGTCTAACAATTCATAACCTAGTTCGACTAGATTTGGGATGAGTCCGCAACAAATAAAGAAAACAAATATTTCTTCCTTTCACTTACTCTTCAAAGCCGAATAGACCGAATGTTATACAATTATTTGTCAAGCTATTCTTAAAATATAATATATATTTATTAAAAAAGAATACACAAATTTAATTATATTCCATTCGATTCAATGGGGGATTTATTTTATTATTGCAAAAAAAATTGAATTTTAGCTAAAATACCAGTTCTGAATTCTTATTCATAGAAAGATTTAGGTGATGCTAATATTAGGCTTTCAGTTAATTTTATTTATTTATTATTGCTTGTTTTGAGAAGAAAACAAAAGGAATTGTTTGACAAGTGTCATTATTTGAAATTGTCGTACTTTGATTACATCGCGTGCCTTTCCTTCATCACTCAGATGTATAGAAGCCTTTTTATTAGCAAGTATTTCCTTATGTCATTTCAGGTTGATGTGTTTGGTTTTTATATTCTGAAATGTGATTGATGAGTTTATTAATCTTCAAGATAATTTGTTATATTTTTTGCAATTAAAAATTCAAGATAATTTGACCCCTATCAATTGTTGCTAATATGTAATGTTTGAATTCTCCCCTCGGTATAAATCGGGATAATTATGACATTCATCTATTCCAAAATGAATTAAGTTATAAAGCTAAATTAATGTTAAACAAAGGTGGACGACCCACTAGTATATGCTGGTGTTCAGACTGATAACCTTCAAAAATATTTCGCTGAAACTACAACTTGTACTTGACATCTCTTAATATTACAGGTCAACCGATACTTTAATTACAAACTGTAATCTGAAAAAAATGTTGGGTGCGTATAATTACTGTCGTTACTTATGCTCATTTTGAATCTTCAAGGAAACCCCTTTTTATTAAGCCCAAAACACTTTACATTTTATTTAAACTAGTCCTAGTCTACTATTCTGGTAGTCCGTCTTCTGAAAATCAAAGCTGATAGTACATCAAACAAATCAAAAGTTATGCGATTCTTGGTAGTCCTTACAAATTATTTTTAAAAATCTATGCTTCTGAAATTACACAAAAATATAAGATAGAATTTCTAAATAATATTCGTGCGTATACGTGTTGTCATTACTTATACGCATTTTGAATTTAGATGGAAAATCGTTTTATTAGCCGCGACAAACCTTGTCGATGTATAATTTTCGGCATTTTAGATTTGTCTTCATACCCTCCAACACCTTGGTATTTATCAGAGCTCATATAAGGGAAAGTTGTTGGTATAAAAACTAATGTTAATGTTACTACCATCTATACTACTTACGTCAATAACCAGAAGCCTATAGTAAAATTATAATTAGTGGTCATTAATGGAAAAAAAGAAAAAAACGTAAGAAAATAAATCATATCTGTATGACGTAAAGAGTTTAATGAAAATTGAGTAAAATGTCAATTTTTTCAATTTTCAATTTTCGCTAAGTCGCTTAATAGATTCGAAATTATTTATAAGCAAAATAATGCACATTGACGAGTTTGGGAATCATATATTAGGTAACGGAAAGTCATCATTCGACACTTTGTTAACTGGGACAATCGAAATTTATTCTCAAATTATCATATCCCTATTTTGTAATCGAAGTAGGAATGCCTTCGAAATAATTTGTGAATATTCAAAGTGAAATTCGTAAGCGACCACAGAAAATTTTATGGGAAATCCTACTTACTTACTTAGCTGGCTTATGACAGAACGATTGTTCCATAAGCCGAGGTTAAAACAAGATTTCCAATCGCGTCGGTCATATTTTATCCAATTTGAAATACCTTTTTCCGAGATGTTGTCTTCTACTTGATCTTTCCATCGGATTCGTGGCCTTCCCCTTCTGCGTGAACCATCACTTGGCTCACTTTTATATGCCTTTTGAGCTGGGGCATCTTCATTCATTCTCACAACATGGTCTAGCCAACGTAGTCGCTGCAGATCGATACGTTTGACTATGTCGATGTCCGAGAATAGATGGTATAACTCATGATTCATTCGACGGCGATATTCACCGTCGACGCAGATCGGCCTGTAGATCTTCCGTACAATTTTTTCTCATCTGATTGCACAAGTACCCATGCTTCAGATCCACACAACAGCAGGGGTAGTATCAGCGACTTGTAGTGAGTTTGGTCTGGCGAGAGTTGGCCTTGCTTTTGAGTTGTTTACTCAGACCATAGTAGCATCTGTTGACCAACATTATTCTTTTCAGGATTTCAAAGCTGATGTTTTGTTTATGGCGGTACCGACGTATATAAAATCGTTCACTACCTCGAAGCTGTAGTTTGCAAGTTCCACATGGTCCGAGTCTACTGACGTATTGGCGCGTCGATACCATCAGCTTGGCCTTATCGCCGTTTACTGCCAGACCCACTTTGGCAGGCTTATTCTCAATTCGTTCAAAGGTGGCTGTTACCGCTCGCAATGTTCGACCCATATTGTCGATGTCATCATCGTATGCGCGTAACATATGCTGTTTGCTGTACAGAATGCAATTTCTGTTCACATTTGCATCTCGTATGACATTTTCCCGCAGGATGTTAAACAGGCCACACGACAAACTGTCAGCTTGTCTAAATCCTCGTTCGGTACTGAAGGGCTCCGACAGGTCCTTTTATCCTGCATAGCCGTATTAATTTTGCAAGAATACCAAACGCAGACATGGCTTTAAACACCTCTGAACGGACAGGGCTGTCGAATGCGGCTTTATAGTCGACGAATAGGTGGAATGTGTCGATGTGTTTTTCGTGGGTCTTTTCCAGGATATGGCGCCGAGTTAAGATCAGGGCAATGGTGGATATGCCAGCCCTGAAGCCGCATTGGTATGGTCCAATAATGTCATTGATCATTGGCTTAAGTCGTTCACCCAGCACGCTGGATAGCACTTTATATACGATGGGGAGGAGACTTGTTCCTCTATAGTTGACACATATTGTCTTATCTCCTTTTTTGTGCACAGGATGCTGGATCATTGGGCATGCATTCATCTAACCAAATAGTACTAATCAGCTGGAGCATGCTCCTGACCAGCATCTGACCACCGGTCTTGAATAGTTCGGTTGGTAATTCATCTGCACCTGCTGCTTTATTGTTCTTCAGCCGATTAATTGCAACTTTGACCTCATCATGGTAAGGTGGTACACCCTCTGAAGAAGATTCCACAGAACCAATAAGAAATGTCTTTTGTGTGTTCTGGGGCATCTTTTTAAAATGCTCCCTCCAGATCCTCAACAGGCTATCTGTATCTGTCACTAGGTTTTCATCTTCATCTGATCGATATGCTTGAATCTGGTGCATGTTTTTTGCTGCCGCGAAGTCAATCAACCTCATCATCATCTGATCGATATGCTTGATTCTGGGCATGTTTTTTGCTGCCGCGATGTCAATCAACCTCATGTCGTTGTCAGATGTTTATTCATGGAGGCTGAATTTGTCTTTTTGTCTTCCGTCGGAGCATAGAATTAGACTGATATAGAATAAGACTGATAGCAATTCGCTCGTCTACTGGAGTGAATCTGGAGACTAGGTTTTTATTCTCCTATTAACCATAAATTCGCGGCCAAATTCATGTCTCGTTCGATGGCAGCTATAATACAGGGCGTAATCATCTGATTTACTTACGCCAGTCCCTTTCCATCGCATTTCCTGTAAGGCAATAATATCGGCTTTGTACTTCTTGAGTACGTTTGCGGGGGTCGTCAACATTAGAGGGGGTTTGGTTTTCTTTTTCATTGCTTTTTAATAGTAGGAGGGGTTTTCCGAGTGTGGGCAACTAACCCAGCCTCAACTCATTTTTTATAGTTCTTATGGGTGAACTCGAGGCCACATCAGCTCACTATTTCAACGGACGATGAAAGTATCTACCCTAAGTGACACCGCGGGGAGGTCAGTGTCCATAATATGAATAGGATGCAATTGTAGTATACGCAATGGAAGTGACATTTTAAATCGATCTTTTAAAACTTTTGTAGTCTATAGTATAGAGATATTTTTGTAAAACTTCATAATCTATTTGGCGAACAATACAAACAACTAAATACAAATCAATCATTGCAGATAAATGTTAATGACCACATGTAGCTCCAGGTTAAAATAAAAAAATAAACAAAAACGATGTAAACGTCATCGATACTACGTGCGTCAAATACCAGAAGCCCTGTAACCATATAACTAATTTTTACTAATGTAAAAAACAAATTGACCTCAGGGTTTTTGTGTAAAAGTAAACAAGAGTAGAAAAAAAGAAAACATTGCCCTCTAAACAATATCGAGTGACGTAAAGACTTTAAAAAGACCTGTTATGCAGAAAAAAATCGTCTGGATTAGCACAGACTATTCGACGCTCTTTGAAAAAAATAGATATAAGTATATTTCGTTTTAAGATTTATTGAAAAAGTTCTTGTGTTGTGACTTATTTTCTAAATTTATCACCAAAACAAATTACCTGTTTTTGTCGAATTTCTGTACCGCAAGACTTGCTGTAAGGTTTGTCATCTGCAAAAAGAGAAAATAATTTATTTCTATTAGTTTTAATGATTTGCAAAAGAATCGTGATCTGAGATATGAAAGTTAATTGCTAAATAAAAACGAAATAGATGATTTAATAAATTGGAAATTAATTCAAATTTTTACATTAATATATGTGGTCTTAAAGAAATTAAACCTGTTTTTTATAAGTGTGGTGAAACTGTATTCTAAGTCAAGGTTAGAAATTGTTTAAGAATTAATTAATTATTTATTCTGTCACTCGATGAGAAAAAAGACAACTGGACAATGTTTAATTGTTCTGGAATTGAAAATTTGTTTATTAATTGATCCGAGAAGTTGTTAACCATAAGATATATTTCAAAAGCCCCTTAGAGGTTTCTCTATTCCATTACAAATATTTAAATGAAAAATGCCGTCTCAGACCTGGCATATAGATGGCACTAATAAAATGGAGTCCATGTTATTGTAGTCGTCTTTGCAATATAGAGGATATACATATGTATATTCGAACACATTTTCTCTATTTCGAAATCCTCAATTGCCCGGAAAAATACCTCCTCGTAGAAATTTGGTAACGTTGATGCATGTTTTCACTGCGACTGTATTGTCTGTAACATGGCATTAGGACTTCTAGAGGGATTATAGACCTCCTCGAAGATATTTATACCCTTCACCACATTGTGGTACAGAGTATTATGTCTTTGTGCATATGTTTGTAACAGGCAAAAATAATCGAGATAGACCCATGGTTCCTTTTGAGAATATGCATAGAACCACTTTCTGAGTCGATTTACGCATGTCTGTCTATCCGTCCGTCTGTCCGTCCGTTTGTCCATGTATTTTTGTTAACAAAGTACAGGTCGCATTTATGATCCGATTTGGATGAAATTTGGCACAGTTCACATATTTGGCCCAAGGACGAACCCTATTGAAATTGGAGAAAATCGGTTTAGATTTAGATATAGCTCCCATATATATTTTCGCCCGATTTAATGTAAATGGTGTACCAAAGTCCCTATATGTCCTTCGATTTGCACGAAATTTGGCATTGCGTACTGGAATGAGTCTAGAATGATGTGTGTAAAATTTCATGAAAATCGGTTCAGATTTAGATATAGCTCCCATATATAGTTTCGCCCGATTTTAGGTAATTCATATTCATGTTAATTGTACACCATGGGTGTCTGATTGAGATTAAATTCTAAACAGTGCATATGTTTCAGAATGGCATGTTTAACGATTGAAGTTCGTTTAATTTCATGTCAATGTTCCTTCGAAATGCGTCGTCTTTTAGGATACCAGTCCAGTCCGACTTTACTACTTTCCTTACTGGTTTTTTGGTGAATTATAAAAAATGTTGTCCCGGCTGAAATCAAGGCCGAGACAAAATGCCGATTTAACCATGTTCGCTGGTGTAACGCTACATGTTTGGTATTTTCCTTGTTAAAATTTAATTTGATATTCATTCATTTGTTATTCGAAAGAACAGTCCATAAAGAATCAGATTCAAAAAGTAGAACCATACAATCGTCAGCTTTTAAGGTTAGTTCAATATTTGAAATAAGGAAATGGGCCGCTACTCTGAAAACTGGAGAATTTGAAAAATTTGTGTGACAAATCGCAGAAGACTTTGACATAAATCCAATATTTGGCGTTCGAACTGCTTCCATGATCTCAATATGACATAGCTACTGATTTCTGTGCTCTGATCTCAAGGAAATGTTCACAGGGAAGAATTTGTTTAAAAAATCGCCGAAGTGGAGACATATTTTAAAGAGAAAGCCAAATAGTATATAAATAATGATATCGACAATCTCAGTGATCGCTATACCATCTCAGAAAGGAATTGTGGTGAGTTCGATTAGGCCAATAAGAGATTTTTCATCTGATAATGAATCGATGTTATAATTCTCGCATTGAGTGAACGAGAAGGGAGAATATTTAACAACAGCCTGCCAACCTGCTAATAACAAAAACTTGAGATGAGATTTTCAGTTCATTCTTAAGTGGCTCTTTTTATACCCTCCTCCACAAGATGAAGTGTATATTAAATTTGTCATTCCGTTTGCAACACATCGAAATATTCACCGGAGGCCCCATACAGTCTGTCTGTTGAAATAGAGATCGTAATATTTGAGATAGAGCTATGAAATTTTTCACTCAATATTAGTGCAGTTTTTAGGGTAGACTCAATATAACAGTACCCCCGATTTTTGGTAGTTCAGAAGTTTTTGACTCGTTCTTCAACAAAATCAGATATTAATTGTTATTTTGGATTCACTTCGGCTATCAGATCTTCCTACGAAAAATGTTCAATATTGGCCCATGCTACGGCATAGCCCCTTTATAACGTTACCCCCCAATATTCTGTATTTTTATGGATTTGGGTTCATGTTTCTATTTAATTGATTGTAATTTGTTTTTTTACACCACAAAGATCAGTATTTCGGGAAGTTCGATCACTTGTCTCAATTAATTTGGGAGCAATTTAATATTTTGGGTTCTCATTGAGTAGAAAATGTCCCTAACAAAAATTATCAGCATTCGTCTATGTTTCCGGGTAGTTCCATATAGGAGAAGCCATTATTCGGTATTGTGAGGTTTTTAGGAAAGTTTTTTTGCCGAATTGGCTCTTATTTCATTGTTAGGTTTATGATGTTTCTACTAAAGTTATCTGGATGTTTCTACTAAAGTTATCAATATTGGTTCACTTGTTAGGGATCCCCCATATAACGCTATGGTTCGTGTTTCAACCAAATTTGCCCCAATTTTTTAGTATTTTTGCTTGATTTCAGATTTGAGCAGAAGGAAAAAAAACTGACCTATACAGAGACCGTGCTTGAGACCGGGTATGTAAAGTCAGGTTCGGTATCGGAATTTAAGTTGAAAAAATAACTTGACTCCAACTCTGAACTAAAGATATTTTCAAGGAGTTCAGCTGGATCGGATGCTTCAAAGCCAAAGCAACAAGTCAAGAAGTTTTTTTTTATTACCAAACGAATTTCAAATTTACAGGCTTCTCGGTTAAAAAAATGTAACTAGAGAGTTCAGCACACGAAGATGATTCTGTATTGAAAAAGTCCTTTTAGGAGTTATTTTATAGAACCCGTAATTTCACTTTGCAACCACTTGGTTTAAAGATATCAAATTAATAATTAACAAGTGAAAAAACGTTAAGTTCGGCCGGGCCGAACTTTGGATACCCTCCACCATAGATATACTGGCAGGTACTTGAAATGAAAATATATGGAAAAACACCAAAAATGGACCTATACCGACATTTCTACAAACCGATTTTGTAAACAATGTTTTTTAATAGAAAATTATACCCTCAGCCTTATGGCTAATTAGTGTGTATACACGGTGAAAATGTGCCTCATCGAAATATTGGTTCTAGACCCCATGTTTCTTTGCACCAAATCCATTTCAGAAAAATTTGATTTCATCCCATCTTATTATGTCTTCCAAACTTAGTCCGAATTTGGGAAATATCGGTCCATGCCTTCTGGTACCTCCCACACAGGGGCTACGGCTAAGCGTAAATGCGGGCTATAGTTCATTATCGAACCGTACGTTCTAGTTTTTTATCTCGATAATCTTCCACATACGGCTACAAAATACCAAATTTCAGTGATTTCGGCTGAAAAGCGCGCTCAAGAACCCCAAAATACCGAAATTTGAGGGTACTATTATGTGGGAGCTACAAGAAATAATGGACTTATATTTATAATTTTTTGTGGAGTGATTTGGTATCCAATAAGAACCCAATGCACCAAATTTCAGCGATTTCGGTTGAAAAACGCGCTCAAGAACCGCAAAATACCGAAAATTGGGGGTACCCTTATATGGGGGGCTACCAGAAAAAATGGACCCATATTTATCATTTTTTTGTGGAGTGATTTGGAACCTATTAAGAACTCAAAATACTAAATTACAGCCAATTCGGTGGAAAAATACGATCAAAACCTCCAAAAAATTTTAAATTAGGAGGTACCGTTATATGGGGGCTACCAGAAAAAGTGGACCTATATTTAAGAACACAATGTACCAAATTTCAGCGAATTCGGTTGAAAAACGCGCTCAAGAACCCCAAAATACGGAAAATTGGGGGGTACCTCATATGGGAGCTATGCCTAAACGTTGACCGATATATCCCATCCTCGAACTTGACCTGCCTGCACACAAAAGACAAACCTATGCAAAATTTCAGCACCCTATCTCAATTCTTTCGGAAGATAGCGTGATTACAACAGACGGACAGGGTAGAAAAAGGTAAAAATTTGAGACAGAACGATTATATTGAGACTTTGTAAAATGTAGACCGATATATCACACTTTAATATATATTTCCTAGGAGTAGTAGCAATGTGGAGCGATATTATAAAGCCCTAACTTAAATTAGGGATAAGGAAATCGACTAATCGATTAGTCGAAAGTCGATTTCCTTATCCCTAATTTAAGTTTTTGCATTGAAAAGTCAATCGTCTGTTGACAATAATACATATTAAAAAATAAATTTTTTGTCGGTTTTGCATTAGTCGGTAAAAGTCGAAAATCGATTTTAAGCAGATTTGACAAAAACGAAAGATCAAACTGTCGTTTCTTCAGTCAGAGGCAAAAATGGAAAAGTCTAAAAGTCGACTTTAACTCTCGACTACATATCCCTAAAATGGGGCGAACCCTATGCTGATTTTTTCTATAATTTTGACATGTGGCGTTATGACTTGTAGAATATTATTAAGACAGTAAAATATTTACATTTTCTTTTTCAAAAATTATTTATTTAATAAAAATTTAAAATAAATCCAAATTAGCAATAAATAATTTAACAAAATAATAAATTACTCAATTAACTAAATTCCTTTCGAAAATTATTCCCATACTAATTTCTCTAGAAACGATTACGACGAATGACACGACGGCGTTGGGTCTTATAACGATAACCATCAGCTTCAGAGAAGGAATGAGCTGGTGCCGAAGCATCGACATCATACGATTCATAGGATGATGAAGCGGCAGGAGCACCATAGTTATCAACGGGAGCAGCAGCATAAGAAACAGCTGGAGCAGAGGCTGCTGGTGGCAAATATTCAGCTGAAACTTCACGACGATGACGGCGAGCTGTCTTCACAACACGACGACGTTGGGTCTTGTAACGATAACCATCGGCTTCCGAGAAGGAATGTGCAGGAGCAGCAGCTTCAACTTCATAGCTTTCATAGGAAGCAGCTGGGGCGGCATAAGCTACTTCGGCAGCTGGAGCGCTGGCAGCCACACCATAACTGGCAGCACCAATAGCACCACCGCCACCTACATTGGGAGGCAAATATTCATTGCTAAGTTGAGCAGCAGCGGTGGCGAACAAAGCAAAGGCAATGGAGAGTTTCTAAAGGGAAACAAAAATTCGAAATTCAACTGAAGTAAGTCAAACAGCCAAATATTCGAAATATTTTACTAACCATATTTATTTTGCTATAACGAATAGTTGTGTTGTCTTGAAGATAACTGAGGTTAATGTTATTTCAACCGAAAGCCAATGCAGTTTTTATACAAAAGGTATATTTTTTCTTTTTCTGTTTTTTTTAATGATTGAAAATAATTATGTCTGTGAAAAAGGAAACACCAGAAGAATTGCAAAATATTGTTTCCTTAGTTAGACGATGAGAAATTCTACAAAGAATTGTGTGTTGGTTGCAGTGGAATAACCTCTCGCCGAACAAGTTCTAATGAAGACAACAATACATCATTGTCGGTTTGTTATGCCTTTCACAATTATGCTGCATAGAAACAGTCATAAATCGTATATACTGGATTTATGTCTACACTCCGCTGTGAAATATTATTAAATATATTTAAATAAATATTTGTTTTTTATTCAATATATAAATAAAAATGATATACTCATAAACGTTGGTTAGACAATTTCTTCAATAGAGGTTCATATGGTAAATTACAGTCACAGTCGATGGCGAAATATATATCGAGGCTAATTTTAAACATCCGCCTATATTTTTCGGCTGAGATAATAGAAATACGTCTGGAAGACATCAACACATTAGGGGGTTTAAGGCCGGGCCGAACTTTTTATAACCACCAGTGGTCATTACCTCTGTATGGGGGTCATTTGTGCACTATGACAAAACGAGCTATCTCACATCGGCTCAACATAACATTTGGACTGACCAAAAAGTAAAATTGATGGGTCATCCTTCATACAACTTGACTCCAAATAATGTACCTCAATAAAAAATACAATTGCCATCGCCAGGAATGCACCAAAAAGCAATGGAGCATGTAGCCTTTGAAAAGGAAGCAAATTCAACGATTTTTTGCAGATGAAATACATCAAAGCAAATTTTCGACTACTTCTTCGGAAAAAAATCATGTAGCGATTCTTCAATTCTGAGTGGTGTGCTATAATTTGTTTAGCTGAATTATTCTGGGAAATTCGAAAAACGAACAGTAGAAGTGGAATTATTGTTGACAATGCGAGCTCCCACTCATCGGCTTTAACCAGCACATTTTATGACCGATCAAAACTTGAAGTTAATGGCTCATTCAACCCTGACTAAGCACCCAATGAGTTCTGTGGTCGATCGTGTATAACCTCCACCATGTGGTGTATATTGAAAATTGCTTTAAAACATCGGGAATTTAATATTGGGAATTTTAGCATTGGAAAATGCCTGAAAATACCGAAAATTGGGTGGGACTTTTATATGGGAGTTATGTCAAAACAGGAGCCTGCAATGATCATTTTCTGGGGTGGAGTACAAGCAACTACATGTTTTACCGAAAATTCACATGGTTATTTATATTGGAGTTATATCAAAATTATAATTTTCCCAGAGCATTCAAACCCCTAAAATTCTGCCTTAGGGCCTTATCGGTTGGAAAATACTGGAAATTAGGAATACAAGTTTCAAAATACCCAATATTGACCTTTATTTCGGGTCTATGTCAAAACATTGTATCAATCGATCATTTTTTACGTAGGCGTATGCCAGCCTCCAAAACCCCGAACGGGCTTTTCGGTAGGAAAATGAGGCCAAATATATCTAAAATTGGGCGGGATCTTTTTATGCGGGTTTTGTCAAAACATTATCCAAATGATAATTTTCTCTATATATGTATGTGAGCCTCAAAAAACCTTTTAAGCCAATATTATAGCCCTTACGGTTGGAAAATGCTTCAAAAACCGAATATTGGGCGGGACCTTTATATGGGTCTTATAATATTTATATGGTCTTATATTATTTATATTCTCCGCAGATATATGACAGCCTTTAAAACCATTAAATGCCAAATTACAGCCTTCGTAGTTGAAAATTTGTCTAAAATCCAAAAGCCAAATTGAAGCACTTTTAATTGGTGCAACAGCAAGCATCCTGGCAGTATTGGGGTCTCTAACGTGATTTTAACAGACGGACATGCCTAAACACAACCTTTATTCTGAACAAGAATATAAATATTTTTTTACCCTTCACCACACTGTGGTACAGGGTATTATGTCTTTGTGCATATGTTTGTAACAGGCAAAAGGAAACGAGGTAGACACATGGTTCCTTTTGAGAATATGCATAGAATCACTTTCTGAGTCGATTTATGCATGTCCGTCCGTCTGTCCGTCTGTAGATGTTAAATTGTAAACAAAGTACAGGTCGCATTTATGATCCGATTTGGATGAAATTTGGCAAAAGTCACTTATTTGGCCCAAGGACGAACCCTATTGAAATTGCGAAAAGTCGGTTCAGATTTAGATATAGCTCCCATATATATTTTCGTCCGATTTAAGGTAAATGGGGCACCAAAGTCCCTCTATCTTTCGATTTGCATGAAATTTGGCATAGAGTACTGAATTAGGTGCAGAATGATGTGCGCCCAGTTTCAAAAAAATCGGTTCAGATTTAGATATAGGTCCTATATATAGGTTCGTCCGATTTAAGGTAAATGGTGCCCCAAAGTCCCTATATATCATTCGATTTGCAGGAAATTTGGCATAGAGTACTGAATTAGGTCTAGAATGATGTGTGTTAAGTTTCCTGAAAATCGGTTCAAATTTAGATATAGCTCCCATATATAGTTTCGTCCGATTTGATGTAAATGGTGCACCAAAGTCCCTATATATCATTTGATTTGCACGAAATTTGGCATGGAGTACTGAAATAGGTCCAGAATGATGTGTGCCAAGTTTCGAGATAATTGGTTCAGATTTAGATATAGCTCCCATATATAGTTTCGTCCGATTCTATGTAAATGGTGCACCAAAGTTCCTATATATCTTTCGATTTGCATGAAATTTGGCACAGGAGATTTGTATATAGCTCCCATATATAGTTTCGTCCGATTTAATGTAAATGGTGCACCAAAGTCCCTATATATCATTCGATTTGCACGAAATTTGGCATAGAGTACTGAATTAGGTCCAGAATTATGTGTGCCAAGTTTCGAGATAATTGGTTCAGATTTAGATATAGCTCCCATATATAGTTTAGTCCGATTCTATGTAAATGGTGCACCAAAGTTCCTATGTATCTTTCGATTTTCATGAAATTTGACACAGCGTACTGAATTAAGTCTAGAATGATGTGTGCTAAGTTTGGAAATATCGGTTCTGGTTTCGATATAGCACGCACATATATATATATATATATTCGTCCGGTGCACCAACCTTTTAATGTTTGTCCGATTAACACGATTTTTTGCACAACGTATCAAGTTGAGACTTGAATAACGTTATTGCGTTTTGTTGAAATTGTTGTAGATGCTGTCATAGCTTACATATGTATTTCGAATGGATGTATGAATGAAATAGCGTCTATTAATTTTTCTATAAGCCGTTTTTCATAAATTTGTCCCATGGTACGAAGTCGACTTTAAATCTGCCTGAATGAAATTAAATTTATCATAGGTTGCAGAAAGACTTGCGTATGTTCCTTGGAGGGGATACATTTGTACAATATACCCAAAGTGGTGAAGAGTATTATATAGTCGGCCCAGTCCGACTTTACTGCTTTCCTTACTGGTTTCCTGTTACTTTCTCCACAAAGCTTCGCCATCTTACTCGGTTAGTTGCCGTTGTTTTTGCATCTTCCTATGTAAGGATATTTTTTTCTTAGTTATTGGATTAGGGTTCACCGACAGCTGTTTCTTGTCGACCTCGATTTCTTGATCCTTGGGGATTCTATTCTTGTTATGCTAGTGATATTTAAGGTGTGGCCAATTAATCTCCAATTTCTGTACTCCAACGTTGGTGCGAAACGGTTGGCCTATGTTCCCCTTCCTCGTACATCACCATTATTATTCGGATTATTTTCTAGGGTATTCCCTTTTTGGTCAATGCGTCTCTTATGAAAGTTCGTCTGGTGGTATCCAAAGCATTCTTGAAATCGATAGACAGTAGGTTGCTATTACCTCTTTTCAAGAATCAGGAATATATACTCAAACCAATCTTTCAATGTGTTAGAAATGGAATGAAAAATTTAATATACACTCCACTTTATGTTGAAGGGTATAAATCGTTGTGTCTAATAGACACCATACACCCATGTTCATAAGCACCATCCTTGACGCTTGGGCCGATATAGACCAAATTTTAGGTCAAGTTCAACAGCTAAATAAACCTATGACTTCACACAATACTACTAATAGAACTGGATCAATTTTTAACAGAGGTTATTGAGCAGTAATTGTTGAAGACATATTGAGGTCCTTTTTTAGACCGATACCTTTCACAATTTTCTCCCAAAAAAATTTAAAACAAATTATTTTAATATATTATGAATTATTTATTTTTATTAATACTTAATAACTATTCAATAAACATTGTGCATGCAATCTAATTAAGCCTTGAATTTAGTTACGACGAATAACACGACGACGTTGAGTCTTGTAACGATAACCATCTACATCGGTGAAAGTGTGAGCTGGAACGGCAGATTCAACTTCCTGGGTTTCAACGGCAACAACGGGGGCGGTATATGTGTTGACGAATTCAGCAACGTTAGCACTAGCTACTGGTGGCAAATATTCGTTGGCGACATCACGACGTTGACGACGAACGACACGACGACGATGGGTCTTGTAACGATAGCCATCAGCTTCGGAAAAGGAGTGGGCGGGAGCAACTTCAACGGTTTCAACAGTTTCAGTTGGTTCGTTGTATGCAACTTCAGGAACTGCTTCAGAAACCTCAACCGGTGGCAAATATTCGTTGGAAACATCACGACGTTGGCGACGAACCACACGGCGACGCAAAGTCTTGTAACGATAACCATCAGCTTCGGAGAATGAGTGGGCTGGAGCAACTTCAACGGTTTCAACAGTTTCAATTGGTTCGTTGTAAGCAACTTCAGGAGCTACTTCAGAGACCTCAACGGGTGGCAAATATTCGTTGGAGACATCACGACGTTGGCGACGGATTACACGACGACGATGAGTCTTGTAACGATAACCATCAGCTTCGGAGAAGGAGTGGGCGGGAGCAACTTCAACGATTTCAGTTGGTTCGGTGTTGACAACTTCAGGAACTGCTTCTGAAACCTCAACGGGTGGCAAATATTCGTTGGAGACATCACGACGTTGGCGACGAACTACACGGCGACGCAAAGTCTTGTAACGATAACCCTCAGCATCTGAGAAGGTATGGGCGGGAGCAGCTTCTTCAACTTGATAATTTTCAACCGGGGCAACACCAGTCTCTACAGCATAAGTTTCAACAGCACCATCAACAACAGTTGGTGGCAAGTATTCGTTGCTAATGTGTGTGGCGGCTGCTGCGGCCACAACGGCAAACACAATGAAGAATTTCTGCAAAGCAAGTAGTCACTTCAAATGCTAGTTCTAGATTACATCTTGTTAATACAATCTTACCATTTTTGTTTAGTTTTCCACACCTGAACTCCTAATGCTTGGAGTAGTTAATGGGCAATGATAATTTACCTAGGCCTCCGCCAACTTTATATACAATATTTAGTTTTCAAGAACTAAGAGAAATGTAAGTAGACCTTTCCCAACATTGCCATTAGTAAATACAAACATATTTTCAACAATCCAAACAAAGTTGGTTGTATAGAAGAACAAAAGCATGCGGGTTTCCGACTTCCTATATGAGTGTTTAAAGTGTTTGATGATCGTTCATTGACATGCCCAAGTGAGAATCATCAGTAGAGCTATTCAACCGAAACTATACACATAAGTAGATACTCAAATGTGTACATGAATGCGAGTGGGTTTTAACTCGAACTTTATCTATTCATTATCAGTTTAATTTACAATTTGCGAGATTTGAGTTCTCGCGTGTATTCTCTGCTCTTGGTTTCAAGCGTTTAACGCTATCCAATTTGCATGAAATTATGCTTTATGGTTTTCTTCACATCACCATTTACGCCAGGCAGGCATCATTAATAGGCCAACACTCTCAATCGACAGAAGTCAGCCAATCAGTTTTGATTATTGATGTGTGTGGATTCTATTTTAATTTGGACAACGCGTTTGCAAAAATGTGTTTTACATAAAATTTTATGGAACAGTATAATATAAACGGTCTTTGGGATTCAAAGACTTTAGCACAAGAAATCCGTATATGGATTGCCTAATAAATTCACAAAAATTATTTGTTTAGAAAAAGGTTAAAATACGGAACATTGTCCAACCTTTTGAAGTAAACATATTAACAATTAGTAAAAAAAACATCCCAAAAATAAATTCGGGAGGCGACCAATCAGTGAGAAAAGCTTCAAATACATAAATTTGGACTGGGCTGTGAGTGAATTGATAATGCAAAATAATGTGGTACACCATGAGATAGAAGAATCCTTAGACATTTCTTCCATCGTTGTTGTATTCCGCACAACGAAATATCGATATATGCAAAGTAAACCAGTAAGGAAAGTAGTAAAGTCGGACGGGGCCGACTATATGATACCCTGTGAATTTGAATTTAATTAGATCTATCCATAAACTTGTCATTAGTTTGTTATAATGGGACAAAAGTATGTAAATCGACTTCAAACAAATATCAATAGGGCATCCGTTGGGCTATGTCTGTATTTCTAGAAATCGCTCTACGTAATTCTATGCTCAGTTTTGTACGTTGTGCAAAATTTGATGTCAATCTGACTAACATGAGTAGATTGATGCCCAACTTACGTAAAATCGGGCGAAAATATATATGGAAGCTACATCCAAATATGAACCGATTTAAACGAAACTTGACACAGGTTAGGTTATACTAATTCTTGGTGCGACAATTACTTAAAATCAATCTATAATGTAAGAGATCCATATCTAAATCTCAATCGTTAAGCTATGCCAAATTTCGTGCAAATCGAAGGATATATAGGGACCTTGGTGCACCATTTACATGAAATCATATATATATATAGCAATATCTAAATCTGGACCGATTTTCACGAAACTTGGCAGATATCATTCTAGGCTGAATTCAGTACGTTATGTCAAATTTCCTGCAAATCGAAAGATATATGGACTTTGGTGCACCATTTACATGAAATCGGACAAAACTATATATGGGAGCAATATCTAAATCTGGACCGATTTTCACGAAACTTGGCAGATATCATTCTAGGCTGAATTCAGTACGTTATGTCAAATTTCGTGCAAATCGAAATATACATAGGGACTTTGGTGCACCATTTACATGAAATCGGACGAAACTATATATAGGAGCTATATCTAAATCTGGACCGATTTTCACGAAACTTGGCAGATATCATTCTAGGCTGAATTCAGTACGTTATGTCAAATTTTTCTGCAAATCGAAAGATATATAGGGACTTTGGTGCAGCATTTACATGAAATCGGACGAAACTATATATGGGAGCTATATCTAAATCTGAACTGATTTTCTTGAATTTTGGCAGACATCACTTAAGGCTCAATTCAGTACGTTATGCCAAATTTCGTGCAAATCGAAAGATATATAGGTACTTTGGTGCACCATTTACCTTAAATCGGACGAAAATATATATGGAAGCTATATATAAATCTGAGCCAATTTTTTTCCCAATTTCAATAGGATTCGTCCTTGGACCAAACAAATGAGCTGTGCCAAATTTCATCCAAATCGGATTATAAATGCGACCTGTACATTGTTTACAATTTAACATCGACAGACAGACGAACGGACGGGCATGCATAAATCGTATTAGAAAGTGATTCTATGCATATTCCCAAGAGGAACCCTGTGTCTATATCGTTTCCTTTTGCATGTTACAAACATATGCACAAAGACATAATACCCTGTACCACAGTGTGGTGAAGGGTATAAACAGTAAGGAAAGTATTAAAGTCGGACTTCACCGACTATATGATACCCTTCACCACTTTAGGTATATCCTTTGCTCGAAAATATATATAGAAGCTATATCTGCATCAGCATCAATTTCATCAAAACACAATTTGATACATTGTGCAACATTTCGTGGTAATCGGACAAACATAAGTTGCACAATTTACATAAAATCGGGTGAAAATATATATGAGAGCTATATATCTAAACCGATTTTTTAGATTTAGCACACATCATTCTTGCCTTTCGTGATCGAAAGAAATATGGGAGCTTTATGGCACCATTTACCAAAAATCGGACTAAGCTATATATGGGGCTATACATATACATTTAATAACTTCTATCAAATTTCGTGTAAATTACATAAAATCGGAAGAAAATGTATATAAGACCTATATGTAAATCTAAACCGATTTCAACAAACCTTAACACACATCATTCTTGCCTCAATTGCATTCGAAATAAAAATAATTACATAAAAAATTTTAAACATTCGTAATTTTTCAGCAACAACCTACTTGTATGTACTACCAATAGTCTCAATAACCTCTGATCTGAGATAACATGTGACGAGAGAACATAAATTCTAAACAATTGAATGATTAAAAATGTATCATAGTTCCAGTCCAATCTATATTTGTTAATATATTTTTTTAGTTTCTTATTTTAGCTCACCATATGCTATCGTTCCAAAGATTTGTTCAAAATCCAAATTCATTAGCATAGAGCGGCTTCCAACGAAGCCAACTTAAAAGATGAATCTTTATTTTTTGCCATTATTATTTTTTGTCCAAATGAACGATTTGCCATAAAATCAATGCTAATTAGAGAATGGCTTTTTGAATAAGTGTGCGCGATGAATCCCATTCTGTCGATTTTAGTTTGGAGAAATCATTAAAACTTAATAGAGACACATAAAACAAGTCCACGCGCAATAATAACAATTATGAATAGCGATTTTCGTATTAATAAAATGTGTGGCCAGTCAACTAAGATTAGATGGATGAGTGGAGTGTGATTTAATTTATGGAAATGTTCGAGGGATAGTCTTCTATTTTTTTTATTTTATTGTTTTATATAAATAGGTGTTTATTTCTGTTGTTTTTAGTACGACCTTATATTGACAATTCTATTCTTTTGTTAACTATAAAATATAAACCAATTCCGCGTATTAACAAATATTTAAATTCTAATTATGGATTATCTATTGATAGATAAACGATGTGAGAAGGGTATCCTATGTAAAACAGAGCATTGAAGTTTGTAATCGGTTCAACTAAATCATGTAAAAACTCATATCAACTAATTTGTTATAATCGATGTTTGAAATCCCTGGTGTAGAGCAGACAATGTGTCTCTTCACAATTTCGAATTTATATCAATCATTCTTAATATATTTATGTTAAACAGCAGTAATTGGCGTCACTACCACCCCCACTATACTTCCCAATATATATTAATCTGGAATAAGTTTTTATAATCTTTAACGTCAGTGCATTTAATGATAATAACTGTTTTTTGAATAAGAAGGTAATTCTCATTTACTTCACAGAATGATACGAATATATGTTTCGGGTTTCCTTGCAGACTGTGTCAACGTCAGTTATTAGGGTTAAGCGGTGTACACACTAGCACTTTTGAGTGACACCTTTTTTTATCGATTACTGAATGTCCAACAACCATGAATATTTTTGTGGTTGCCTGATGAATGACAAACATGAGAGGCCACACTATCAAACAAGAAAAATTTGGGCAAGAGTGGCACTCAAAAGTGCTAGTGTGTGCACCGCTTTAAGTAAGTCCAATTACGACTAATCAATTGACGTTAGTAGAATAGAAAAGTAATCTTGGTCAATCTCGTTCATTTCAGTGATCGAAAGAACCAAATCATTTTGTAAAATTAAGTTCTGGCAGCTCAACCAAGGACTTTCCTATCTATTTTCTCCACTTTGTTAATGGGTGATGGTCGATGGCATAACTCCGTTATATTCGCAGCACACTTGTTTGCGTTGCAGTCAAGTGCTCCGGACACCTTTGCTATTTTCCGTCGTTTCCAGCTCCACGGTTGTCTATGTGGTTGCTTTGGTTTTAAATGTCGCTTCATATTATTTACTGACCCTCCAACTATACTTAAAACACCACTGCAGCATTTGATATTTTAAGCACCGCATTCCATGAAATGGGACAACAATATATTCCACGTACCTTCATTCAATTTAACAGATTTTATATGAAATTGTTCTTATTTGACGCCGTTCAGTTGGTTAAAGTCAGTGGACCTGTAAACAACACTCAATGTGTAGAAGAAAATACAATGTCGTTCAGAGACCAACTGCGTTCGGCAAACACAATCGTTCAGTGAACGACATTAATTGAAACTGAACTATGTCGTTCACTCGTTCAGTGGACTGCCTCGTTCAATTGAACTAGATCGTTCCCGAACGACACAAGACTATTGAAAAGTCGATGTCGATTTTTTGTCATTAAGGAGATCGCA